AAAGCTGCAGGCAGAGGCGGGAGAAGTTGGGGAGGGGGCTCGCGGCAGGCCGGCCAATGGGAGCGCGCAGGGGTCGAGGAAGGGATCCGGGAGAGTGGGGCGGTGGAGAAGGGGAAGTTGAGAGGAAGAGGACGTGAAGAACGACGCGACCGTTGATTGGGCGGTTTGAATGAGACGCCGGCGTACGCGCGCGAGCGCCCTGACGCCTAGGAAATCGCGCACGCGACTAACGGTCGGCCTGGGAGCCTGGGCGGGGCGGAGGGAGGCGGGACTTGGGGGGTTTTAAAAGGATGATGCAAGGCTCTCCGGCCAATAGGGACGCATATTCGTGGGGTAGCGTCACGAGATGCGCGCGGGCTAATCCTTGACGGAGAAGGCGGTACCAGGTGGGGGGGGGCGGGATAGACGGAGAGCGACCAATGGAGACCCTGCCTAGCGCGAACCTAGGCCCTCGCAGCCAATTAAGTTCGTTGGGTTTTATGTATGCAAATAAGTGCGCGTGGACGCCCGCGCCCCTTCCTCAGCCCGCAGTGGGGGTGGGCGCTGGGAATTGAGGTACGTTTGTCAGTGAGGCGCCATTTTGTGCCAGGAATGACATGTGACCTGCGTGCTGTGTCGCGGAGGTTCCAAGACCAGTCAGCACGGCGTTGAAGGCTTAGACGCCTGGCTCGCAAATGTGTGACCTATGGCCCTGGCCAGGCCCCGGGCATGACGCCGGGCCTCAGTTTCCTCCTGTGAGACGTGGACGCCGCAGTCCCTCGTGGTGCCAAGGAAGTAGGGAGCGTCCCTGGGCCTCCTTTCAGGGCCCGGCCTTGCCTGTGACTGACTGTGGCTTCCAGCTAGTCAGGCCTTCGCCGGGACTCACGTCCCCGTATGGGAAGCGGACACACAGTTGCCCGAAAACGGGCCCGGAATGCCCCGGGCGGCCCGGTGTCGGCGCCTGGAGAGCGAGGACCGGAAGCTGGACCGGCTTCCTCCCGCTCACCGTGCCGGGGGCCGGGGGCCCCTCCCAAGGCCTCGCAGCCCGGCAGGATGGGCCCCAGCCGGGCCCCCGCATCCTGACAAGCCCTCGTGGGCCTCAGCTTCTGGAGAAGGAGGCAGGAAGGTGCAGAGACACCCGCAGCCGAACAGTCATAGTAACTAGTTTGTGGCAGATGGGCCTGTGGGGGCCTGGCACACGTGACCTTCAGTCCTAGCACGCAGGGTGCAGATTCTGGCCCGGTTATAACACACGAGGACACTGAAGGCAGGAGGGGTCAAGTGACTTGGGACAAGACAGAGGTGGTGGTCAGACTGATCTGTATCACCAAATCCACCCAACAGGCAGAACGATGATGGGAATGGTTATTGTTTACTCTGGGTGGAGGCCCTGTTCTAGTTTGCATGCTTGAGCGCATTTAATCCTGGCAGGTGGATTCCCTTCTGGACCCCCTCATTCACTCAGTACGATTTAATTTGAACACCTACCATGTGGCAGGCAGGATGCTCTGGGGTGCGGCAGAGTAAAAGGGGCAAAACCTCTGCTCTCAAGGAGCTTACGTCCTCGTGGGAAAGCCAGACAGCGAGTAAGTATATGCCATCATCAAGTGGGCGAGTGATGACGGCTTTGAAAAACACGAAGTCAGGGTCCGGGGGATAGAAAGGGAGGGGTGGGCAGGGCAGAACTCTCTGAGGGAGGGTCATTCGGGCTGCAGGAAGGTCTATGGGAAAAGCAGCCCAAGAAGAGGGAACAGCAGGTGCAAAGATCCGGCGAGGGGACCATGCTGGCTGAGTTGTGGGGGCCACCAGGAAGCCAGCCAGGCTGAGTGGGAGGTGCTGAGGTCAGAGGTAAGCGGTCAGCAGTTCCATCACTGGCCTAGGCTGGGGTGGCCAATGTGTTGTTTTCTTCAAGCACTAGGGGGCTCCTGGGTGCATTGACAGGGCAGTGGGCGGGCACGTAGAGGCCCTGAGCAGGCTGGTGGCAGTGGGGATGGGTGAAATCTACAGGACCTTAAGGTTCTTGATATTGCAGGCCCTGAGAGTTTCTGTCCCAACCTACTCAGTTCTGCTGCCTTAGCCCCAGAGCGGCCTAAGGCTTAAGCATGGCCATGTTTCAGTCAGACTTTGTTTACAGAAACGGGCAGTGGCTGGAGGAGTTGGCCCTCAGGGAGTCCACCCTTTCTGACTCCTGAAATCCCAATAGGCCCCACCCCTGCTAAAAAGCTTTCAAGAGCCCCCAACACACTGCATTTTGAATACATCTCAAACTCCCAAAAGATCCATAAGCACTCTTCCTGAGGCCTCCTGGGCCTTCTTTCCATCTGTCCCTGGTATACACCAAGCCTTATCTGACCTGGGGACATTCGCAGGAGAGTGCTGTATGCCTGGAAAGCTTTCCACCCCATCTTCTTTCTTCCCCAACCTCCTCCAGGCCTAGGCTCGCCTTAAAATGTCACCCAGAGCAGCTTCCCAGTCTCCGCTCCCATACTCTGTTCACTTCACTGTCTCTGGTCTTTGCGACCCATCGAAATTTATCATTATTTGTTGGCTTATGTGTTTGTCTCCATCTTGCCTGATGAGTACAGCCCCAGGAGAGCAGGGCGTCTGTCCATCGCCCCTGGCAGAGTGCCTGACAGAACGAGGTGTTCATTCAACAAACATCGTATTTACTGAGCAGCTACTAAGGGCCAAGGCAGCGTTCTGTGTGCTTGGGATACGTCAGCAAACAAAGATCTTTCCCCTTGTGGGGCTTACTGTGGCGAGGGAAAGGAGACACAAAAGCGAAATGTAATAAGTAAAATACATGGTATGTTAGGAGGCAGCAAGTACTGTAGAAAAAGTGAAAAGTAGAACAGGGGTGCCAGGGGTGCAGATGCCGTGGTAAATTTTAAGCTGGGTGTCCAGGGAGGCCTCACCGAGCGCATGTCATGTGAACACAAGTTTGAAGGCAGGGAGGCACTGAGCTCTATGCTTATCAGAGGAAGAGCATTCCAGGCAGCAGGAACAGCTGGAGCTGGAACACACTCGAGGAACTGCAAGGAGGCCAGTGTGGCTGCAGCAGAGTGGGCAGGGTGTGGGGAAGTGAGGTCAGAGAGATGTCTGTGTGGTCAGGTTGGGGAGGGGGTATCACGGAGGGCCTTCAAGGCCGTGGTTAGGACTCTGGTTTTGTCTTTGAGGAAACAGGGAGCCACTGCAGGGTTTTGAGCAGAGGAGTGCTGTGGTCTGACTCTGGTTTTTCCAGGTCATTCCGACTACTGGGTGGAGAAGAGAAGGAAGGGGGATGAGGATGGAGGCAGGGAGGCCAGGAAGGAGGCTGTTGCCCAGTAATTCTGAGAAGAGATGGTGCCAGTGGTCAAAGAAGGTATGTAAAAGGCCAATAAACACATGACAAGGTGCTCAGCATCATCAGCCAGGAGGGAAATGTAAGTCAAAACCACAACGAGATACGACTTCACACTGCCAGGATGGCTGTAGTCAAGAAGTGAGATAACAGTGTTGGAGAGGATGTGGAGAAATAGCTCAGACAGCCAGTGGGAATAAAAATGGTGCAGCTGCTTTGTAAAACAGCCTGGCAGTTCCTCCAATGGTTAAAGCTAGAGTTACCATGTGACCCAGCAATTCCACTACGCGGTATGTACCCCAGAGAAATTAAAACGTGTCCACACAAAAAATCATGCACAGATATTCATAGCAGCATTATTTATAATAGCCAGTAAGTGGAAACAACCTGAATGTTCAGCAACTGGTGAATGGAGAAACTGTGGTGTCTACTTAGAGTGAAATATTACACAGCCATAGAAATAAATGAAGTACTATTACATGCTACAAAGTGGATGAACCTTAGAAACACTATGCTAAGGGAAGGAAGCCAGTCACAAAGGACTGGGTGTTGTATGATTCCATTGATACGAAATGTCCAAAATAGGCAAATCCATACAGACAGAAAGTAGATTAGATTGCTTGGGAGATAGGGAGGTGATAGCTAATGGGTAGGTTTTCTTTTGAGCGGCGATTAAAATATTCTGAAATTGATTGTGATGATGACATAGATGCCCAACTTTGACTATGCTAAAATAATTTAAACTGGTGAATTTTATGTATGGTATGTGAGTTATATCTCAGTAAAGCTGTTACTTTAAAAAAAATTGAAAAAGAAGTACTGAGACAGGAGGAACTAAAAGAAGTCCAGAAGGCAGGGAGAGAGAGCACGCTGAGGGAAGAAGGATCTGAGCAGGAGAGGAGGGCGTGTAGAGCGCCAGGGCACCAGTGAGGAATTTTGTTGAGGAGGTGTGATAGGTTTGGTATTCCCG